CCTGCTTTCTCTTAGGGGCAACTGAGATTATTCATTGGTGATGTTGAGATTATGAATTATGGATGCTTATGGATGTATGGTTTGCAGTTATTTACTTTGTTTAACTTTTAGTTTTTTCAGTACATGTAAAGTTTCTTCTTTTCTACTTTCTCTGTATCTGTTAGATATATCTGGGTGATATCTGTAATATCCTCAAAAATTGTCTGTTTCTGTCTTAGTAAGAGATTAATGTCAGGCAATCTAGTCACAAATTAACTACAGTGGATCAATTCTTAGGGCAGGACTTTATAGGATTCAGTGCACCACAATAAAAAACGCATTTGCCCTTCTGATTTACAAGAAATTTATGGGAGTTTGTAGGCGGTATGCTATTTCAGTTACTGCTAAGTTAAACTTTTTTATTATTATTTCTGCTTATGAAGAATATAATGAATGAAGTTCTGTGTGTGTAGTTTAAGAGGTATTGTAGTTACATGTGTATTGTAGTCACATATAGTTAAAAATATATTGTCTGCCTGTTTTTTTCTGTAGTAATTCCGTTAGAGAGTGAAAGAAATCCATTTCTGCTTGTTGTATGAACAGAGGAAAACCAGGACTAGTGCAATCCTGCCTTCCCCCAGCTTTGAATGTTATAAATGACTTAATTAAAAAAAAATAGTGCCCTGGCTTCCAGGCAAAGGCTTCCTGCATGTGCTGTTCAGTGCTGATAAGAGTGCAGCTCTTTAGCCCTTTGTTTATGGGAGGAAGTTCCTGGTAGGTGTGTGCAGGTCCCCTTTGTTTCCCGCGGGCCCTGGGTGAGTCCGGCGGCAGCGGCCGAGTCGCACGCAGCCCCCTGTCTCTTCAGCTACATCAGGGGTTCTTGTCATGAATGGTGTTTTCCTGCGTGGTATTGAGGTTAGAAATAAGGTGGGTAAAGCCTTGACAGAAAACTTTTTATTTGTTGATACAGTATGAAAGTACAGTAGAAGCACATTGTTTTACAGTGGAGATTGGGGAATCTATTGTAAATTAGGAAATATGGCAGATTAGGAAGTAAAGAGAAGTGTTTTAAAAGAAAAGCTTTTGCTCTGATACTGGCAGGTCATTTTTATAAAGTGGTATATTCTCTCTTACCCATTTGGATCCAGCTTTGTCCCACCTAGTTTTGCATCCGCGCCCAAGTACCAAGCTCTAGAAGTCAAGTCAACAGAAACTTCTCCAGCCCATGCAGAGACACTGGCACCATTAGGAGGGAATTCAGATGACAAGTAAACTGTACCCACATCTTTTTTTGTTCTTTGCACGTGGTGCATTGGACCAATAAGCTTGCCAAGTCAAATGCTTGCTGCTGGAAATAAGCTAACATGTATTTGTGGATTGGTTGGGATCAGCTAGGAAGCTGTTAAACTGTGTAAGAAGCAATACTGTTATTGCTATAAGATTAGCCAGGATGGCCAGAGGTGTCTGTGGCCAGAAGACTTATTCTAATGACCTGCCTTTATTTGTGGATGTGAAGAGGAGCAGGAGCTGCTCTCCAACTTTACCTGGAAAGGCTCTGGAATTGTTCTCATGCCAATCATAAAACAAAAAAAGTCATCCAGAAAGATTGACCACCCACTTTAGCATCTTGTGGTGGGTTTGAGAATCTGGGCAGAGACTTCAATTTTGGTCGTGGAGGCTAGGAGAAATGAGAGCTGCTTTTTAATGGCTTTAATATGTTTGTTAACTCACTTTCAGTAGAATAGAAATGTAGTATTTTGTACAAATCAGATTTTTTTCCTTGCTTTAGCAGATCTGATAATTTAGCTCGTGGACCTTATTTCATTCTAAATTTTAACCTTTTTTTTTTCCCTTGTGGTGGTAGCATCAATCGTTCCTACATGTGGGAGATTGAGATGAAAAGATGTTGCCACACATTTCCAGACTTTTTGTCTTTTCAGTTGATCATATATCTAAAAGCAGATGCCCTTGTCCTTGCTCATTTTAAGTTAACCACAGTCTTACTAACTTAGCAAGGAATAAAGTAAAACTGCCGTGTCAGGAGGCACCCTTCCCTGGCTTGCTGCTGGCAGGAAACAACAGATCTCCTTCGGAGGGGGCGGACTCTTTGAAGGAGACCTAATGCCATCACCCAGAAACCCTCCCCCATGTCCTAGGAGAGCATTAAAAAGTTGGTGAAAATAATGTCTTCTGGGTCTTAATATCTCGTAAGTTCTTTCCTATTATATGAACTTTGTAAATCATATTGAACTAGTGTTTGCATACTAGAAAAATGTGCAACTGTCTGATCCTCCTTCATGCTTTGTGCTTTCTGACTTGTCTAGTTTTTGTGTATAAAACTGATTATTCATGTATGAGCCGTTTATATTAAATTTTAAATTGTAATATACTAAGCTAAAGAGAAGGCAGCTGTTACAGGTACCCGTACGTGGACAGAGGCAGTTGGCTGTATCTGTGATCCTGAATGATGTAATTACACTTAATTGTAATGTCTGCTTTTTGTTGCAGGCTTTCGAGGACCTTAGTAAACTAATGGACAAGGTATGGCACCCCTCTTGGTGGACATGGGCTGTTTTTTCCTCATTTTGGAGCACCCTGTTTCTGTTGCGCTGAAAATTGACTTATACATTTGTCTTTCTTCATAGGCTAAGGAAATGGTGGAGTTATCCAAGTCAATAGCTAATAAAATTAAAGAAAAACAAGGTGACATCACTGAGGATGAGGTAAATTAACTTTGTTTTTAGACTCAACAGAAACATTTATCTGCAGAGCAAAACAAAAAGCTCTCTAACATATTTCATGTTAGTAAAGAACACTTTGGAATGATCGTTTCTTTTTTTCTGTTTTAGTTAAAGTGGCTAACATGTCGCCTTTTCTTTTGACCTCTTCTTAAAAGCAAAGGTGCTTTGTTTGTTTGTTTGTTTGTTTTTAGACTGTTAGGTTCAAATCCTATCTGCTGAGTATGGGAATAGCTAATCCAGTTACCAGGGAAACACATGGATCTGGGACACATTACCATATGCAACTGGCAAAGCAACTTGCTGGAATTCTGCAGACTCCATTAGAGGTAAAGCACCTAATGATGCATTTTCTGTGTGCTGCTCAATTTTGACATAAATGTGTTTTGGCTGTAGTACTGTGTCTTCCCTTAAATCTGAAATTTAGCAATGCAGCCTCATATTCAAATTCTGTGATTTTTTTGCCACTTACGAAAAAATATTGTCTTTTTGAATTAGAACTTTTAAATATACGCACAGGAATTGGTCTTTAGACTATAATGGTATCTCAAGTTCCAGCTTGTTAAGCATAGGTGATACTTTTGTAAATAACATTAGCGGTCTTTTTTTAAAAGACCCTTGATTCATTTCTTGCCACAGATTACTTTTTCTTCAAAAAAAGAAAAATAACAGTGATTTTGAAAATATGAACAGTCAGTTTTTAAACTGCTTTCAAATCACATATTTTACTAGTCTTACAGATTTACTACGCATTATTCTTTCTATTATGGAATTTCTTGCATTTTGATTTTTCTGAAGCTGTAACAGAATTCAAGATTCTCACCAGAAAGTTTGATTTTGTATTGCAACTTGGCTGTGACTATGTGCCTTCTAAAAAGCATACCTACTTAGAGTATGTTTTGTGAAAGCTATATGCCACCTCCAATGATCAGAATGGAATACTGAGCCTATCTGGAAAGTTGCAACTCCAAAGTGATTGATAGATTTAATACATGGAAATTTGTTGTTCCTGTAATTTATTCTCTACTTTAACATCAAAACAATTCAAAGTCTTTGGATATAGAATCAAAGTTTTGCATTTTAAAATGATTAGTGAAAGATACCATCTAGGAGCTTTTCTCTGATGCTGGAAAGACTTGGTATTCTCTGGGTGGGTTTTTGCATTAAAGCTTGTAATTTAACTCCTCTATTTTACCTGTTTCATCAGGTGATTGCAAGTGAGATACTGTGATGACAAGTTGAATACTGTTTCTCTGACCAGTCTTGTGCTTACACAGGAGCGAGGAGGGATCATGTCACTTACTGAGGTGTACTGCCTGGTAAATCGGGCACGAGGACTAGAGGTGAGACACTGATAGTCTCCAGTATTTTCCAAAATGTACTGCATTGATAAGCTAATTAAAACTTGAGAAGCATGAGAGGGTTCTCTACCATTTCCTCCCTTAGTCCTGTCCAAGAGCACAAGGAAATCATTCCTTTATTAAAATTAGGAATTTTCACCTTTTCCCCTTCTTCTTCCGCATAATGTTTACATGCCTCCGTAGCTGGTCATAATTATATGCTGCTTTGTCATTGTAAAAGAGATGTGAAAACATTATGTATAATAGGAGAAAAAAATGCATGCTTATCTAGAAAGAAGATTGAAAGTACAGAAAATAGTAGAGAATGATGAAAAGTTGTTGCCAAAATACAGCAATTCTCTCCGTAGACATGACACGAAGCAATATTATAGAAAACATACCAAGAGAACCAAGGACCAAGGAATGTTAACAGCCAAGAGAGCAGATTGGAGGATATAACGAAAGAAATGAAGAGACTTTTTTAACCTGGTGGATCCTATGGCTGCAGTTACAACAACTGCTTGTTTTTGTATAATAATGTGTGCTTCACATGTGAATTGTGAATAACTGTGATTATTTTCATAGTTGCTGTCACCGGAAGATTTAGTAAATGCTTGCAAGATGTTGGAGTCGCTGAAACTTCCTCTGAGGTGAGAGACTTGCTGATAGTTTTCTAAATCACCCACAGGCCAGGCTACAGTGCTTAGATGACTCGACATGTTACATGCAGTAGATTTTAGAAATAAAGTCATCCAAAACTGTTCTTTGCAAGAACATCCACTCCACACTAAAATATGAATGTATAACTATGTTTCACTTTGTCTACTAGGAAGACAGTATTCTTTTTGCTTCCTATACAGTTTTCTCTAAGTTTGATAGTTAAAACTCATGTGGGAATTCTTTCGATTAAGAGCTTTCAGGTAGAACTGTTCCTGTTGGTTTTCAGCATCTTGTACCCTTTACTTAAGTTCTTCAGAATATCTTGGCCAACTAAGGAAGTACTCATTCCATTTCAGATACTAAAGAGCTTTACCAAAAGGAGGGAGTCTCATCTTGCTACACTTCTCATATGTGAATTGTGTAGTAGTCTACATCTAATGTAGAAGCCTAAGGCTTCATCTGACCAAATGTACTCCTCTGTTTTAAACTAAGACGAACCAAATCATTGACATCAACTAGGCCTGCATAAAATTTTAAAGGAGTTTCAGGTGACCAGCTCTGATGCAAACACAGTCTGGAGACCCAAGCTTATTCAGATACGTTTAAAAAGATTTTAGCTTATAACTTTTTTTTGCTTTACAAATTTCATCTACATCCTGTCATGACTGTCATGGCTACAATAATCCTTGCTGTTCTATCAATTCCAGTGGAAGTTTAAAGCTAAAACAGAAATATTAAGATGAATAACTTAGTGACTTAGTGATCTTTCCAAAGAATATAAAGCAGCTGAAAAGAAGAAAGGTGCAGAAGACTAAACCGCCTGAAACTTTTGTTTTTCTGTCCGCGGATGTGCCATCCCACAGAACTAGTTTCACAGAGCTTCCTTTAAAAGTCAGCCATCCATACTTAGAAATTGTGCATATTCTCAAGCAGAAAGTGCTAACTTCATGAAACACTAAGCAAATGGCCATTTAAAATGTGGCAAATGGAAACTGCTGTTTTCTTTCACCCAGCTATTGCTGGAACTTGTTTTTCAAACAGGGATAAATGTCTACCTAAGTCCAGGCCTCTGCCCTGGTCTTTTCAATCTCTTTAGATTTTGAAGATACTTTTAATTTCATCTTTTTTTTTTCTCTTTAACAGTACATTTATAGGTGTGTGCATATTAGAAATGTGCTCTTAAGTGATGTGCACGGACGTTTTAGTTACTTTGAATGCCTGTCTTGATTTTAGGCTTCGGATATTTGACAGTGGTGTGATGGTGATTGAGCTCCAGTCTCACAATGAAGAGGAGATGGTAGCTTCTGCTTTAGAGACAGTATGTGAACATTCATTTCCTTCAATGTTCTGACCGTGCTGGAGAAATTTAAATACATTAGGTATAAAAACGTGTGGCACAGGATTTCCCTTTGAGGTTTTGAAATACAAAATTTTTCACAATGTCTTCAAAGAGTAATATACTGTACTTAAATAGCACTTGGCAAAGTGCTGCTCAGGCAGTCGTCTTAGTCACAGCTGTCTCCTTAAGGAGTAAATGAGTTTTTCATCTCTTTTCAAGCTTCCTTTGGCCTTCCTTCAGAACTTTGTACTGTTGGGTAAAATTGATGGCATGGTATTAGGCACTTAATTTAACAAAAATGGACTTCAAACTCTGTGTACACAGTATGGTAGAAGGTAGTGAAAGTAGCTCTTAAATGCTGACGTAGGCACTTTGGTTTGGGTTCATTTCATATAATAATAGGACTATGTGAAGCACTGTACTGAGTTTGTTCCTATCAAGAGCTCCCTGTTGGGGAGTAATACTATAGAAATAAGGTAGATTCATCCCCCAAAAAAGTAGTACAAATTGCTCAGTGGGATAAAACTTGCTGGTCTTACCTACCTATTGACTCCTCAAAGTCTCTCCCATTATTTGACACATTTTCCTATGTGCTTTTCAGCCGGATGTTAGTTTTTGTTTTTCAGTAAGTTGCCTAACGGCTGATTCAGTCCATCTAGAGTTTGTCCTTTTTTTTCTATTTTCCTAATATTCTGCTTGGACTTCATAGTAAAATACAAGGGAGCGGCTTTGCATGAGGAGGACTAGCACATGAGGAAGAACAGATCAGAACTGTGGCCAAAATCAGCCATATATTCAGTGTTTAATGTACAGTAACTTGAACCTCCGAGGAAAAAGTGAAGGGAAGTCAGAGGGCTTCAGGCAGGGGAGTGATGTGGCTTTGACTGGCTGGTGAGGACAGGAAATGCCATGGATGTCAAAGGAACCTGCAGTCACTCCTGATGAGAGGCATGGTTTGGGAAGGAAAAACATAACTAATTACCCATCTTCCATGTTAGATTGTGCTACTGACTGCAGTACTCACATTCAGTTATTTAGCTTTATAAAATCTTAAGTTAGGACTAATTTAATCTAAGATTTTGTAAAACAGAAACGAGATTGCAGAGATTGCTGGGAATGACACAAGTAAACCCCTCCCAAGGCAGTTATGTGGGAAGCAGGAAACGGCAGCAACATCTGGATTTGAAAGTCTGCTTGAATCTGAAGTAATGGAGAAAGAGCAGAATTATGAAATGTGGGATAATAAAACCTATGTTTACGTGGGAATTTCAATGCCTATATATAATAGACCACTAAATCCTAAGCATCCAGATATCCAGCCAGTGTGAGGAGGCTTCATTTTTGCATGTGTTTGAGACAACAGGACCAAAGTTTTGAGTCTGAGGACTGAACCTGTCTGAATGTGGTGGTGTCTTTTACTGATCCCACTAGTATGCAGTATTTTAGGGTGGAGTACTAAGGTTTCTGAAACGATTACAGGCAGTGGGATGTTTTAAACTAACTCAAATTCTCCACCTCCCTCTGAGATCACTGAAATTTTCTAAATTGATGACCCCTCCTGCCCTGCTGCCTTTTGTTTCCTCTTTCAAGCTTCACTGTTTACAGAATCATTTAATGCAGTGGGGCTGTGTAAATACTGATTGCAACAGTACCCTGATGACTGTGAACTCTTTTAATTTTTCCATTCATTTCTCCTGAGGTATCTTCTAAAAAAATGGAAGAAAGAATGTTATATTTTTACAGATTTAACTCTTCTCTTTGTCTCATTTGTATACTTGGAAAGTTTCTCAGGACACTTAAAAGGTATTTTTGAGAGAAGTTGCTTATAATTACTTGCGATTTTTCAAAAACGCAAACAAACTAGTTTTCTTCACAAGAGTTTTGCTACCAAAAACAGGGGTAGCTGTGAACTGATTCAGTATCTGCGAAAACAACCTAATTGTTATTTGCATGCCACAGTTTGTTTATTTGTGTGTTTGTTTTTTGATAGGTATCTGAAAAGGGTTCTCTCACAGCTGATGAGTTTGCTAAGCTTGTGGGGATGTCCGTTCTCTTAGCCAAAGAAAGGTAAGTAATAATTGTCCTGTTTAATAGTATCTTCAATTACCATGTTCTTCCCAAGTAGTAAGAAAAGTCTTTTTCTTTCTGCAGGCTGTTGCTAGCTGAGAAGATGGGCCATCTTTGCAGAGATGATTCGGTGGAAGGCTTGAGATTCTACCCAAATTTATTTATGACACAGAGCTAATGTAGTTTGTGGACATTTTTTATGCAACAGTTGAGCACGAGAGCAGAGGGGAGAACCTTTTCAACAACTGATTTTACTAATTTTACTTTGTTAGTCAACTGCAACAGTGATGAACATTGTAATGTTTTGCAGTTCTCAGGTATTTCGGATGCCGAATGGTCTTATGTGGAAGAGCAAAGAAATAGGAATCACTAAACCAGAAATATGTTACTATCTCAGACTGGCTGGCTCACCTGTGTTAAGTTTTGTATGATATGCTCTGTAATTTCTCGCTTCAAGAGAAATGAGGTGAATACTGCACACAAGTGAAAGTGGAAAGAATATCCCTGTAGTCTGCCCTAAAAATCAGCACCCAGAACATAGGTTACTGCTTGCTCCTGTTACGGTTTATTTACGTCTAGAGCAACAAAACAGACAGATGCATCCGCAGTGATAAGAAATGTGACTTTGGTGTAGGAAACAAATCCTGAGGTGTAGGAAACAAATCAGTGTAGAGTAACTCCTCCCTGTGAACAGTTTTCTAAGAGAGGATCTTGAATTTTTGGAAGAGGGTTCCTTATACTTCGAGTTAGAAAGAACCTGAGGCAGGAGATACTAACCCTGCTCTATGAATCTAGAAAACACGATGTTTACTTTGTCACGTCTTACGCCTGTAGCTCAACGAGAGGCAGCCGGTGCAGATTTCCTCCCTGCCCTCTCTTTGTCATCTCTCTTCCTGTTTCATTGAGTTGCACGTAGGGTGCATGTTCTGCCCCCTCTTCGTGTCTTGCCCTCGGTCATTCTACCTGCCATACTCAGTGCTTTAATATGTTTTAATATGATTTTTAATCTTGTACTTCTAATGAAAGATCTTTTGGTAGTCCCATCAACCCTGTGTCTGTTTTGGAGAGCAATTTTCAAGAGAGCCAAATTAATTTGCATCTCATGTGCCGGAAGAGATGAAGAACACCACCCCCCTACATTTAGTAGTCATGAGGTATCATATTGTTTGGTTTTCCTTACCCTGGGCTCAGACCGAATGCAATTTGATAGGCTCAGCTTTCATAACTCCAGTGGAGTTGCTGTATTACTTGAAGATCTGATGTCACGGTAATAGTGCTAGGTGGGTGTTCATGATCCATGACACTCACATTTACAGGATTTCAAAATGATCAGTTTTAATAAATAACAATATTCTTTCAAAGTATGGGTAAGGACAGCATGTATATAACATATGGATGTAGCAACAGTCAAAATGATGTTGCAAGAAGGAAAAAAATGTTTTTAACTGCCTGAAAACATCTTCAGGACTATTTCTCTGTTACTGTAGCTGAGACAAGGCTTAAGAACTTGCTAAGTTCTTAACTGTGAACTAGGTGGTGAGCTAGGTGCAGAAATTCTGCTTTTGTTTTGTAGGACACCCATCTTGTCCCCTTTTGCTTGTCACTAGCAGGATTTTGTGCAGTGCTTTCTTCAGGACAGTTTCCTCCTGCTTCATGACGGTGGAATTGTGCTAAAACTGGCGAATTTGGTGCAGCTGAAAGAACTCCCGTAGCCCATACTCCATTCATCACGGTCTCTCCAGGAAACTTACGGACAGTTTCTTCATCCTTCCCACAACCCACCAGAGGGATCTGCACGAGGGTCTCCAGCATCATTCATCCAACGAGGGAACGAAAAGGAAGTGTAGGAAGGAGGAAGCTGGTGCATGAAAGCTGCTCTCCTGGCCTGGTAGAATGTGTCCTGTTGAGAGGAGCGCGGTGGTTTCCAGGGTGGAACCTCCTCCACAAGAGGGCACCGCTGGTACCACACGGGGCAGGAACCACCAGCACCCAGGGCCTGTGGCCCCGCTGCCATCTTAGTTAACAGGAGAGAGTTTGTAGGGTGGTGGTGCCTTCCTGAGCTTTTCTCTCCCAAGATTTTCCCTTTTTGCTTTCTATAAGGAAGAAATCCATAGGCTAAATGGCGTAGTTGGCTTAGAACTTAAATGTCAGAGAAAATGATCCCCAGAAAGTAATAAAAATTAGAATTTTTCTTAAGTAGACTGTGTTGTATTTTTTTTCTTCCGTAATATTTTGAGCAGCTTTAGAGCTACACATCAAAGTCTTGTGGTTCCATGTGGCAGTATTTTAAAGCACGGCATGTACACATTGTCTCATCTTGTACCCAAAAGAAACAAGGTAGGTTTGGTTTAAAACTAAAAAAAAAAAAGTAGAATTAAGTGTAATTAGAATGCCTTGGTTTTTTGCCTAGTTGCCTGTGACCTACTGCAAGCCAGAATCAAGATATCTTACTTTTGCAGGACTGCCCCATAATAAACGCCTTATAACAGAGGTTTGGAACAAAGGTCTGTTCAAAAATGTGCTTTTTTTCTTTATGCAACACCCTGAAATGGGGATTGTTTTTCATTTCAGAACACAGGCCCTTTCATGCCTCTGGCAGGAAGTGTTGCTCAGGAATCTGTACATCTCTTCCGCTTCTCGTTTGCCTTTGTTTCCAGTAATAATTACTTTATATTTAGCCTATAGAAGTGTGGATCTAATTCGAACCATATTTATTTCTGAGGTGTGACTTTGTTTTTAATGTGAATTTGAAAATCTCTGGAAGTGCTTCTTCACCAGCCACTGCTGCTGCACAGAGGTCAGCTGAACTCTTCGATGCACAGTTCTGGTGGGGCTTTTACAGCTTATCCAAAGGCCCGACCCTGTGCTTGCTGTAAAATCCATGGTTATCACTGAAGTTATCATAAAGACCAAGCAGGAGCCAGCAGTAGCTGTTGCCAACGGGAGAAGCTTCCTGCTTCCAGGAGCCTGGGAGGCTTCCACAGGGCCCTGGCCAGTCCTCAAAGACACCCTGAGCCGGCAGGAACAGCTGGTTCAGAATTATCTGTGGGGCTGATATGAAATCGCGATGTTTTATTTGGGAGGATTCCGGTGTTTTTCTGAGCTAGATCCACGAACCTGACATTTGTGTTGCTTCTCCCACTTCATCCTAATTTTCAGGGTGTAGGGCACTCAAGCACAGTGTGAGAAACTTAAGGTTCGGGTCTTTAGGATTTAAACTTCCTTTTTTGTTCTCCCACAAATGAGCTGTAAATACACTCACGGGATACTCTGGGAATGTCTGTTGGCAGTGTTCCTCTTTTAAGGAAATACTTAAACATTTTTTGGAGCAAGAGGGCCAAGTATCCAAGTATACCTCCCAGGTAGCTGTCCTGACCAGCGGGCTGCAGAGTCATTTTTCTTTGTGGTCTAGAATTCAAGTATTATTCAAGTATTTATTCAAGTTTTTGGCATAAGAGCTTGAGTACTCAGACATTTTGGATAGTTTTGTTCAATTTGAAGTACGTATGTATTTGGCAGAATGGGAAATCCTTTGGGTGGCAAAGCTATCTCAGTGACTTCATCTGAATGCTGTTTCTGTGTTTATGTTTTTAAAATGAGCAGTTAGACCAAGAAATCAGTGCTCCTGCCTCCCCTAATTCATACATGCAGGCTACTCCCAGAAAATCAAAGACAGAGGTTGTTGGGCTTTTTTTTTTTTGCATGAAAAAAGGCTAGGAGGACACATGCTGTGTGAAGTATTTTCTTATCCCACTGACTGCTTTTGTGGCAAACACAATATTTTCAAGGGCTATCGAGGCAGCACAGTTATGTAGAAAAAAATGTTCTTGTCTGTTGTTGGTTTATACTGTGGCTATTTAATGATCCACTTTATTAGGTAGAATTCTTCTCAAATATTGCCTAAACATAACAACTTTGCATGCTTCCTCCCTCCATGAGAAATGTGCGCTCTTTCCAGACTCTGTGTGGCATAAATCCCTGGAGTTTCACTTAACATCCAATGGAGAATTTGAGGTGGGTCCTTCATTTGCAAAGATACTGTGGTTTGATCCACCCAATAAATGGCAACGGCAAAGCTCCCATGGACTTCAAACCCAGCCTTTGCTATAATTATGAAACGTTAACTCATTAGCAGCTTTGAAAATAGGTATAATAGGTTTGGCTGTGCTCTGGTAGCAAGAAGGAAGGGCTTAAGAGGTGTTTTGGAATCAGATCACAAAATGTTTTGGTCTCATCAGCAGAAATACAGACCTAGGCATAATTGCTGCAAAGTGACTATTCCTGATCTTTCTACATTCCTATTGTTTTTTCCACAGTATTTTGGGAAAGCCCAAGATAAAGATAATCACTTCTTTTCCGCAGGAGCTTTGCCTATTTATAAGCTACAAGGCCAGAAGAGACTGCTGTGGCCATCGAGCTTGACCTCTCGCATAACACCCGCTCTAGGACTTCCCTTCATTAATTTGTGTTTGAAGTAGAAGTCCCTCTTTTGGGAATAAGAGATTTTGTTTTTTCTGGGACATCCGACAATAACTTTTGTCAAATTATTCCAAAGACTTTTGAAAGTTGTAAAAATGTGTTGAGGATACGTAATCAGGTTTCTGTAGCTTCAGCCTCCAGGGCTTGGACCTTATATTTAAAGCTCACCCCTGCTCACGGGGTTCTCAGGCAGGATCACCTGGACCGCGTTGCCCAAGACGGTGTCCAGGCTGCCTTGAACATCTCCAAGAAGAAGTGAATATGGGACAAGTTTGGGGAAGGTCCCCTGTACAGGAGCTAACTGTGCTACAGCCTGATCTACCAGCAGATGTCCCATGGACTGCTCCTAAGCACAGCTTAAAAACCACAAGCTTGACACACAGCAGGGATATAATTAGCCAGCAGCACAGATGGAAAGTTGTAGGGCCCGGCCTGCATGAGCTGGCCCTGCAGGACACATGTAATTTCCAGAGGCTTTTCTGCACCACTGCCCATCCTGCTGTCTGTGTGTGGCTGATTATTTCTGCAGAGATACAAACAAGTTTCACTCGATAATATCCTCGTTTTGATAGCCAACCCTTGGTAACTACTCTTTCATTTTCCTGCAAGGTTTTATCATACTGGTTTGATCCAGGTCATGTTTCTTGTGCATGGTCACAAGAGTTTTGGGTGGGACGATGGTAAAAGCCTTGAAAAGTGAAGCAACACCTTTCTCTGCTCAACCACATGGGCAGATGTGGGAACCCGTTCTTAGCTGACCAACTTGCTCTGGTCCCCAGATCCTTTAAACAAAGGAGAGACCCACACATCCTACGTTCCTTGCTCCTACATACATAATCTTATGTGGACTACATGAAAATGTAGTCCATGAGCTGGGCCTCTTTAGCCTAGAGAAGATTGAGAGGGAATCTGATCAATATGTACAAATACCTGACAGGTGAATGTAGGGAGGATGGGGCCAAACTCTTCTCGGTGGTGGCCAGTGACAGGACAAGGGGTAATGGGTACAAAGTGAAACACAGGAAGTTCCACCTCCATATGAGGAAGAACTTCTTTCCTGTGAGGGTGACAGAGCCCTGGAACAGGCTGCCCAGAGAGGCTGTGGAGTCTCCTTCTCTG